AGCTCAGCATGGAAATTTCCTGGTGGCCATCAAGCAGGAGAAGGGAGAGTCAGCACGGACGAGTGGTGAGAAGCCACACGGCGAGGAGGAGGTGAGCTCCAGTGCCTGCATCTGTCTCTGCACAGTCCTCGGGAACTGGGTCTGTGTTGCCCAGCCTGGGGCTGTCCCTCCACTTGCCCTTCAGCAGCCCAGGCGCAGCCAGGCAAGCCGGTGGCTGTGGCTGTGGCCTGAGGAAAGGCCCAGCCCTTCCCTGGAGGGACGGGAGGCCCAGGCAGGTCTGCAGGCTGCTCCTGTGTCCTGCCAGTGCGATGGCATCATGCGCTCTGATCCATGACGGGTTGTCCCTTTCCTTTCGCTGGGTGCCAGCCGGTGAAGAAGAGGGGCTGGCCCAAGGGCAAGAAGAGGAAGAAGATCCTTCCCAATGGCCCCAAAGCCCCTGTGACGGGTTATGTGCGTTTCTTGAACGAGCGACGTGAGCAGATCCGCACGCAGCATCCCGACCTGCCCTTCCCAGAGATCACCAAGATGCTGGGGGCTGAGTGGAGCAAGCTGCAGCTTTCGGAGAAGCAGGTACCGGCCCCCAGGAGAGACACCCCCCAGGGCTGGGCAGCACGCTCCGGAGCCTGCACCCCAAACCCCTGCCTGGCTGTAGCTCCACAAAGGGAGCTTGTCCCAGTGCTGGTGGGCTGGGGAGCAGGAGCTGGGCCTCGAGTAGTGGGGAGGGGTCAGCAGCCCCCCAGGGAGCCTGGGGCTGGGCCAGGCTGAGGACCCTCTGTGACCATAGCGGTACCTGGACGAAGCTGAGCGGGAGAAGCAGCAGTACATGAAGGAGCTGCGGGAATACCAGCAGTCGGAGGCCTACAAGATGTGCACGGAGAAAATCCAGGAGAAAAAGATTAAAAAAGGTGGGTGCAGTGGCTGCCAGGATCTGGCCAAGTGCTGCCAGAGCCTCTTGGGGGATGCTGTGCTGGCTCCTAGGGCTAACCTCCTTCCTTCTTTCCAGAGGACGTGGGCTCTGCGGCAGTGAACACCCTGCT